CTTCTCTGAGAGGATAAAACTTAAATAGTGTGTTACTGTCTCATCACTGGGACAGTCCTTCGATTTGATTTGGTGTTTATTTTCGGTTATGGACATGCAACAGTACATATTTTAAGTGAATTGGCGCATAAGCGGAACGCTTAAATCTGAGCGCCTCTCCTAACAATAATAAGATATGGTCATCGCCGCCGGGGAACCCACGGCACACCGACCACTAGTCCGATCTGTAAGCCGACACGGGGCAGGCGCCCGCCGCTGCTCCGGTCTACACATATAGCTGTCCCGGGCCAGTGGCGTCCGCCCGGCCCGGCAATGCCACCCAGTGGCCCGTCTGCTGCTCGCACCCCCTGAAAGTTTTTAGGCAAATCGTTTGGTCTGAAAAGGTAATGTTTGGAAAATTTTTGCTATCTGCTGCCCATTGCGATCCTGTAAACCGTTACCTCTGGGATAGATACTTAGTTGCTCGTTGCGAGTGAGCTCAGAAATGTTTGGAATGGTACGATCTGTTTTACATAGCAATGGAATTCGGATTTCTTGATAGCGAGGACAGTTCAGTACGAAGTGTTTAGGGGCTTCATATGGAAAGCCACACAAGCAAGACGGACTACGTGTAGTTGGATTCTGAATTTCGAACATGTGGGCATTCAGGTCTGGCACTCCCAATCTCAGCCTGGTATTTAGGATGTTACCAGATCCAATGTCTAGATCAATGTCCAATGTTATGTCTAGATCCAAAGCTGTGATACACCGAATGCGCGGCCACACCGCAGCGCTGGTATATTTCCCGTGTTAGGGAACAAGAAGACTGGAGAGGTGACGCCTCAAGCGGGAGCTGGTTCCATCTTTTCGTAGTTGATGGAATGTAGGATTTTTAGCATGTTGAGGTTCTATTTGGTGGTAATGTGAGTGTCATTGCATTGTGTAGTGGACGTCCTATTAAAAGTGCTCGTATGTCAGGTGGAAGTGCAGTGACGTTTATTGGCAGTAGGTGTTGGTTGTGGATTAGGGTGTGGAACAGCGTCAGTTTGTGCGTGTTTCCTCGTGATTTGAGAGTGTTCCATCCCAAATCGTTCAACAGTGCGAGAGTGTGTGTTCTATGGAGTGCACCGGTGATCAGTCTTGCTGCTCTGTACTGTAATCTGTCAAGTCTAAGGGAGTCGCTGGTTGTCAAAAGTCCTTCGTAAACTACGTCACAATAATCAAACAAGGGAAGAATGTTATTCGTATATATGTCGTTGAGGATATGCCGAGGCAGAAGTCGTGATAGTGTGTAGAGAGGTCCAAGGGCTCTACCGATTTTGGCGATGGTGTCATTAACGTGTTGATGAAAGTGCGCATCAGTAGATATCGTCAGGCCAAGGTGTTTGCCGCTTGTAACGGCATGAATACGTTGACCATTAAATGCCCTTGCGGTGGGTTATGTGTGTTTCTGTTGGTGAATGTTTGTTGAATTGTTTTTGTGGCGTTAAACGTGATGAGCCAGTCTTTGCCGAACTCTTGTATAATATGTAAGTCGTGTTTGAGTACCGCTTGTACGGTAACTGGGTCGTGTGAGTGAGCTGTGTATAGCGCAGTATCGTCGGCAAAGAACGATACGTCATTATCAGTTTTGCCGGCAAGGTCGTTAAGATATATAAGCGCAAGGAGAGGTCCCAGAACTGCGGGCATCCAGCATGTATGGTCCTAGACGTGCTGAAACTGTTTCCTACCTTAACTATCTGCTTACGGTCTGAGAGATACGATTCTAGCCAATTTAGGAGAGTTCCTGACAAGCCACAATAGTTCTTGCACTTGAGCAGGAGGCCCTTACATCTTGTCATCATATTTATTAATGTCCAAGTAAATGGCCATAAAGTCATCGCCTCGGTCCAAGGATGCACAAAGATTGTTATTTGAATAGACCAGCAGAATTTGTGTGCTATGTTTAAGACGGCCACGTATGTGCGAAGTGGAACACATTTGAAGTATGTTAAAAAAGGTCTTCCTTAAGTCTTTGGTTTTGACATAGAAGCCATGCTCACGCTTTCCGCATCAAACGAAATAGCATCGTGTGTGATGAAACGACCAAAAAGGTCACTTTTAACAATTTCACAATTTGAAAACTCAGTGATACAAAATCAGAATAGCCAAAAGGTGCACCGACTTATTGCGAGTTCAAGGGTTCATGACTTGGTTCAATTACATAAATTATTGATTGAGTTATGAACATTTAGAAATACCATTGCTAACCATCCTGTTAAAAATACCCGAGGCTATATGTAGCTCTTCGATCTTGGCTCTGACCTTTCCGAAAATTGCACAGGTGTCTTTAGGGCAGAAGGCAGCCTTGTGGAAGATGTTGAATCAAAAGATAACATATTGCCTGTTCTGGCTCCTTCGATGTTATATTTGATGTTATGGAAGCCATTCAGCTAACGGCTGACGGCTTGCGAATCTCAGAGCTGTTGCAAAGATCCTACCCGCCACCTGCCGGCTCCTCAAGACCTGCACAACGACTCACGGACAGCAGCTGCACTCGCTGCCATGAACCCATATTACCGCATCGTCACTCCTCTCGCCTGTTCTACGGTCGCTGCATGAGGCCTGGTATGCTCTCATGTCACGTCCACTGCAGCGCGGTTGCGGCACGTTGCAGGAAAGAGGAGAAAATACACTCGCTGCACGTAGCCACGTATTATGCCTGATATTTTGGCATTAATGGAGCCAAGGGAAAAATCGCATCAGAAATGCCATCACGCAACAAGTATGTGGCGAAATACACAGAGAATGCGGCATGCCTTGCCGTTTATACGTTACGCACAAGATCAGTTGAACTGACACCTTGAAAGCCTTTGTAAATATTCTTAGTGCCGCTCGGGATGTGCAAACATTTTATATCCGAACATTACACGCGCCTGGTTGGGCGCTTGGTGGGGGGATGTTAATATACTGTATATAGTAAATAAATATAATACCCTTCGTTCGGTGGGGAAGGGGTCAATTTGACCCTCAGGGACTAAGAGCTAACTACACCAAATTCACAGGGTGCTTTGTCCTGTAAGTAAACTCACTTAGATCAAAGTTTGAGGCGCTATTAAATTATCTACAGCTATGCCAAATTTGGCACGGATACGCCGCGCCGTTCGGAAGCAATTCCAGAGAACCCCGGGGAATCAAGTTGACCCCCATATGAGTGCGTGTTAAAAAGTTGGTATAGAAAGGGAGCCTCCTCTTTGTCAAGATGTACTCCACAGTTTTGGACTGGGTGGATTTCTGGAACAGCGCTCACATCACGCAGTGCTTTGCGCGAGCCATGACACCACCATCCGATTTTCAAATTCCTGGAAACGGCATAATTCTGCCGCAAAAGCTGAAAGCCAATGTTACTCATTTGCAGAATTTGAAGCAAGTGTCAGATATGATGAAATACGATCACTTATTATTAGTGGTATTACTTAAAATGGAAAAAATACTCTAGATGACACAGTTGTTCTGCTCAGTAAATATGCTCGTCAATACGTCATTGTTTGATGACGTAATCGTACCTTTCACAGCATTGACTGCGAGTCAGTCCAAGTCGTGTAGATCGTGCTCACGAACATTAGATATGAAGGACTCGCCAATTAGATTTTATTCGTCTAGATCGCCGCATGGCTATTGGGATGACAATGACGCCATTATGGCGTCAAGGCAGTCTGGTGCCCTTGAAATGGTCTATCCGAAAAAGTGTGCATATCTCCGTAGATGTGTAGCTCAGAAACCAAAGGGGTTCAGGTCGCAAGAAGGGCAGGGCTGTCAACTGCGCCAAATGCCCTTCAAGAGGAATATTTCAGTTAACAAAAAAGACATACAAATGTGGAACACTCTAATTAACAGAGCCCATCCGGAATAATGCATATCTATGTACCACGAATTAAATAAGGAACATGCCTATGTAGACTACATGTCGCTACGTGCTATGGTTTCGTAAATATAGGTATGCAAAGCAGAGCACATCAGATTTTCGGAGGCAAATGACAATTACTGACCGCGAAAGAAAACATGTTTTCTTTGTCGCGATAATTCGTTTAGACTTATCTAGACACTATACATTAGACATTGGACACATCATTTAGACATCGTTTAGACCTTTCCACCAGGCTCTGTGTCGTTCTTACTTTGGAAACGACGGGGGTCTTGTCGTTTCCCCCTCCCCATCAGTCCGCGTTATGAAAAAGGGTGAATTGAGGTGAGAGGTAATATTGATACAAGTGGTGTTAACGTTAACACCGTTGTCAGGATCTGGTAAGATGTATAAAATTATCACATCCGTTACGGAGGGCAGACGGCTGACACGATCGCTGTTGTTAGGTGTATCATAAGACCTTGTGAAAGCGTACCCACTTTCTAATGCTTTATTTTATTGTTCGTACTTCTAGGTCTACTGATTCTCGCTTCTATAGCTTTAATCAAAGGACCCCATGCAGTCAAACTTTTTGAGCAAAGTCGTATGAAACAAGTGGACTGTGAAATTGATATATTTCTGAACAAGATATCCTTGCATTTTGCTAGTCGAACACTTCCGACTTAAGTTCTGTAACACACATGCAACGTCTGATACATACATACTACGATCGGGGCGACTCTCGACCGTCCAGCGACCTTAAACAGACAAGCCATAGCCCGCTGGGATCTGTCCGCCCATACGATAACCAATATATGGCAGCATAAACAATGCTCGAAGCAGGGTAAACTGCTTTTTAGTCCCGGTCGGATAGCAGCATCTCGGGAATCACGGCTGTTAGCTGCAAGCCTCATCGCCACGGCAATTGTTTCAGCTTACAAGCTGGATTCACTCAGGTAATGCGTGTCTTACCCCCATGTTCGGCCTCGTGACGAATGGACCGTGCCAGATTTATCGGTTCAAAAAATATTCTGCCGAGTCTGCGAGCTGCCTGCAGTCGTTACTTCAAAGGAAGTGTCACTGTCGCTCAGTCACATTTTCCTGTTTCAGACGACGTTTGTTTGTTTGTTTGTTTCAGGCTCGACCTGAGAACACGTCGGGGCCGTTTGACACGTGACTCCGGGCCCGCCAGACCTGCCGATCTTCCAACCTCAGCCGGGCCAGCAAAGATGGCGGCGGCGTCGGCCGAGTTTGGCACGGTCAACTTCGTGGTGATGGTGGCGTTCTTGGTGGCTACGCTGGCCATCGGCGTCTTCTACGGTCTACGAGGTCACGAGGCACACCGACTGCTCATCTCGCGCGATATGGGCGTTGCACCTGTCTCGCTCTCCATCATGGCCACCTTCCTCTCCGCCATTCTCATCGTCGGTCAGTGACCCCGCTCGCGGTCAGTCGCCCGTTCCTGGCGTGTAATCTCGACGCAATTATTTCGTCAGACAATGAGCAGAGAAATCACAGCAATTTATTTTACTTTATTACGTATATGCTCGGCATAGACATAAAAGAATATGTAAAAGACTTAAAATATCTCAATCTTTTTATTCAACATTTTGGTTTTCTTATTTAGTATTAGACGTTGTCGTAATGTTTTAGTGAATAACGTACACAGTGGAAGTTGGTGCGAAGTCTGTTCATTATTTTGAAGAATTTCTTTTAAGCAGAAGTGTAACGTTTAAATTACTGACATTCCATTTCAAAAGTAATACAATTATGAGCAGTTGTAAAATTGTGTGTCTAAACATACAAAGACTGTAGCGGCACAGGGTAACAGATGCTGGGTGGAAAGAAGCTCAGCACGGCAAACTCCAGAATGTAACTAGAAATAATCTACATATGCAACGTTTAGTTTAAATTTATAGTCTTTCGTGAATATTCGGCAGCCAGTATCTGAACGCAGCGTAATGCAATGTCTACAATGGTGAATGTATTTTAGCTTTGAATGAATGCTATGTTCAGAATTTTGCAAGAAACTCAATAAATTGCTCACTACATTGCAATGGCAGCATGTACTGACAGTTGCAAAACAATTCAATATATTCCATAGGGAACTGGTAACAAGATTCTACGGCGACTCTGCTTCGAATATTTTCCATTATGGATCCGGCATATTACCGACTGAGCCATCGAGACAATCGGGCATGCTATTTGAAAATCGGAAAATTCGCGACGTACCGTGCACGAAAAAAGTTGACCCGGTGCGCCATGAGAATTTCACTTCTCTACGCAAAAAGGTTAATAAATGAGCTGAAGACATTAAAACACTCTTTCTTTTGGTGTTGTATTCATCGAAATTGGCCAGATAGAATTCGGCTCACAGCTCACGCAAGCCTTTACCGCATGAGTCCTATGCACTAGCAAGAAAAACACGCCGTAGAGTGGTTTTGCTACCAGCATGCTTCTTTGGGGGCTAGTAGTAGTCTCCCCCGTGGTGGCGTGTAAAAAATAACGGATGAACTGCTCCCATTCGTACGATCTTTTAAGAATTAGCTGTGATAACCTACTCCAAGTTATACCAGTACTGGTCAAAATAGGCTGGGATTTTATGAGTTTCTCATAGATTGCTGTCCAGGGATTATGTTAGCATATTACTGAGGCAGAAAATGCTCACTAGAAACCGCCACATCCTCCCCCCCCCCCCGCCATTACAAAAATTGTGCAATTTGAATGGTGGAGAAATGCAAGTTAGGACAATGACATCACCAATCGTATTTTTAAATGCAGAGACGATTTGCTGGATTCCATTATGATTGGTTCAGTTTCAATATCCGCTTCGATTGCAGCAACCTATTAATGCAGCGATTGCGAGAGAAAACATCGCGTACAAATTCCGGCGAATCCGACGTCAGGGCTCGCATGAAAGGACACTTGGCTCTAACATCCTCACGGGAAAACGCTGACGCGCTGAAAATCTCATTTCGTGAAAAGACCGTACAACGGGCGCCATCCGACGCGATGCCATTGTTTTCTGGAGGTCAGCATGTTTAGAGCAGGTGGGTTACACACGCCGTTCGCCATGGGCTCCACGGGTTTGAAATTGACTACTTTGGGCAGGTGATGCCTTAAAAATAGGTTACGCAGCTGTGATGTTAAATAACGATAATGTTCACGGTACTCAAAATTTCGTGGAGTGTTCAGCTTGAAGAGCAACGACACCACTTTGGAAGATGAGCTCTGCTCAAAATATTGAGACAAAAAAGGAGTGACGAGATCACCCTTGAAATGAGCATTGCTCGACATTTCAGATACCACTAATAAATTGTTGGCTGTCAAGCAACGCCGTTTACCCGGTACTTTCTGGGATATCGAAGGTCGTTAGCGCCACATAAAAATATCAACCCATAATCCGACAAGTTTCTGTGAACATGGCAGCTCGCCATCCCGATGTATGCTGCAGCGCTATGCAACAACAATTAATGAATGACGTTTTGGTTGCATTCGTCGAGTTTAAAGCCGCACAGACAATAAGGGCCGATAGTCAATAAAGAGCCAGATGCACCGGCCTACGTCATCCTGGCCATCTCTGTTCATAACAGTGAAAACGAGGATGCTGCCTTCAATGAGAGTTTCTTGGGTTTGCAGGTACTCCATCGGAGATATTCTACTTTGGCTTGGAGTGGGCTGTCGCCGTGCTGACATTCCCCATCGCCGTCGTCATTTCTGCCACGCTGTTCCTGCCCATCTTCTTCAGACTGGGTTTAATCAGCGTCTATGAGGTAATGTCCGCGGCCCGACCAGTTTTCAGCGCAAAAACATGACCTTCGCAGCACTTGACACTCTACATTGCCGTCATTGGCTTACCTGTCCGTACCATAGTTAAGCGTGTTTCTGTAATGAGTTTCGCTTTCAAACATTTCAGCACGGCATTTTTCACCCTTGTCATATTTCCAGCAACGAAGTTCAGTGGGATCCCCTGGTATGTATTTTTAATATGCATGATGTATAATCAGAAAGGATCAAGGTCCTTTTACGATGTGAATCAGTCACGGATCGCGTATTTAAGCAAAAGAGACTGATCTTTTCTCGGCACATTGGCATACATCGAATGGCTCAAGTTGCGTAAATTGCAGCATTACTATGTTCAAACTCACCATTGTAATGCCGCAATGAAACAGGAGCATACACGCCACACTGTCCCGTCGTGTTTCTGCTCACATTAAATTTTAGTCACGTGACACTTCGTATGCTTGGCCAAAGATTCATTCGCTTTAACTTCAGCACAGAACAGTGAATAATCTACGCTAGAAATCCCGCCAATGGCGCGTTTTTTAAGTCGTGTTTTTCGGGGGAGGAGATTTGGCCCCTGAATTTCTTAGGAGAAAATGAATGAAATCTGACGAGGAACTGTTTAAGAGCATTGTTCCAGTCTGGGATTCTTTAACCGCATTTGACACGTTTGTGATCAGCTTGACCCCCTCCGCCCTGGCAACACAACGTAATCCCGATTCTCCTCTGGTTACGTAACGTGTAAAGCCTAACTTAAAAAGGTAATGCGTGTCTGTTTGGTTCCTAACCAAGCGTCATTGAGACATACACTAACTCAGTCAGGGTAACTAGCTCCATATGGATTTCGTCCAACCGCAGTTTTGCGAAGCGAAGACGTTTTGCCGTGTTGCCTGTCATGAAAGGAAGACGGCATCAGATGCGATGAAATAAGCTCATTTGTAACTATTGGTTCGCTTTCAAGTGTAACAGTCAGCTGTAGTCTACTAAATTTTACAATTTTGTAACTATGTTCCTCTACACATCATCATTTCATTGCGTCATGGAACGTTGTTGCGATGACAGTGTCGCTGCGAGAGTGGCCGTTTCAGAAGTGCCACTGTAGCGGACGGATTGACTCGCCTTAAGTACGTAACCTTTTGACGGGTGGGGTACTTGCTGGTGCGTATTTGCTGAACCCAAATGTCATTATGTAGGCATAGTTTTGCCAATTTTGTGGTGTTCTTTTACAATTTCCGTCATTTTACATTTCTAGTTGCACTCACTACTCGGTTTTGACGCTATTCTTCAGCTTTGTGATTCACAGATTTAATGCTGTCATAAATGGTACCACAACTTGTATTGTGTAGCCCAAAACATGTTTCGTTTTCGAAGCTAGCATTTAGCACGTGATATTGGTTGAAGGTTGACTTATGTCCGAGAATGTCACAAACCGTACTGACATACGCCAGACGAATAATTCCAGGGTTATTTATTGTTTGACTTTGAATACTACGTGACCAATTAGGTGGCGATATTTGCGTGACGTTTCTGTTGCGCCATGCATGCTTGTGTGACCTTGACATAATGTGCGTGAAATATCTGCACTAGTCTGTAGTCATCAAGCAGGCAACTAGAGGGTTTCAAATCTTAAAAGGGGCATGGCTATGAACTGGAAACACTTCATTTAAGAGACTGGTGATCCGACTCACTATCCAGAATGGGGTGCAGCTCATTATGCTAGTGGACTGAGTGTACAACTCTCATATGTCCAACTTCTTGGGCCTCAATTGCACCTCAAGTAGAGCTGCTGTGATAGCGCCATAGCGGAGGAATGAATGCCAAATTTTTACGTGTCGTGGAATTCGCGGAATAATAGCTTCATGCTTCCATGTGTTTTGTCTAAGCAGAGTATTTCAAGCTTTTGAAACATTTATTGCGCAAACATTTTTGTCCATTAGTTCTTGCAAACATTATCGAACACACGCGTTAGAAAAATCAAAGCAGCGAAACATACTATTTTTCATAGTGGTGAGCAGAGTCAAATGAGATTTCTTCCGCGGATGCGACTATTTCAAGCAAAGTTTTTGGCCATTCAGAGGGTTTCCACCGCCGGTTTAACGCAGAAGTTAGCCTTAATGACTACCTTAACATGGAATCACTACACACAGGAAAGAAATGTCCAGAAAGACCAAGAAAGACAGATTGGCTGAATTATCGCTAAAGACGTGAAACAAATTACCAAAATGTAATGGCAAATACGGAGCTCATACCAGAATATAGGATATTCAGCATGTCGACCATGTTGTAAATTACACCGGGATCAAGATGCGAGAGCTTTGGAACGCTGTCGTTGTCATTCACCTCGGAGTTGCGTTCCAAGCGCAAGTCGCTGGCTCGCATTAAATTGCATGTGTACCTACACGCGCAGAAACACAGCCAGGGGGGACACTGGGGATCTGTACAGCTTTCCCTCATCCCACACCATCAGCCCCGCCCTATCAGACCATGGGGGCCTTTGGGCCCCGCGGCACAGACGGCCAAGAAGTCGATTCGAGGACCCAAAGGGCTGGCCGGACAAGCCCGGTCCACGGGCCTAGTCCTCCCTCACGTAAGGTCAGCCAAATGGCTTTTTTCGCCTGTCGGGGGTCTCCGGGATGATGAAGGCCTCTATGTTTGTCAGAGACGACAAATGCTGAGCAGCTCACTCTTTGTCAGCATAGGCTTTGAGAGTCCATGTACGGAGGGGAAACAATTGCCGGGTTTATGAATTGTTACTGAATGCACCGTGCTCTGGTCGCGGCCCCTGAAACAAGGGGCCTCCTGTATCGGTCAAAAGCAAAATGCTTGAACAGAGTAGCCTGTGTCGGCAAGGCGCTCCGTCAGTCAGGATCACATTTGCTGAAGAAGGAACAGGACAGAACCCTGAATGTCAGAGGGCCTTTTGTGTTGGTCGGGGGTACGCAGACATCAAAAGCAAATGCCAGGAATGGTAATAGAAATGGGTCTGCGATGAGGCAATATGAGGGGTCTGCCAGTGAAGTGCTCCAGTCCAAATTTGAGGTTCTTCGGGGTCCCGAGCCCTGAAACAGGCTCGGGGGCCCATTTCAGCCGGGGGGGGGGGGGGGGCGAACTGTGGTTCATATACGTACTTGGATCGCACGCTTCACAGTTATCATTAATTCTTCCAGACATTTTTGATCGGATGAATTTAAGATCAGGGCTCACGCAAATCAGGTTTGTTGTATGTGCTCTAACACCATCCTCCTATCGTGAAAGCTCCAATTATACAGCATAATCTTGTGGAAACAAATTACGAACCACAAAGTTCGGCGAGATCCACCTCGTCCTTTGACTTCCCTGACTTTGACCTGCCATCTGAAGATAATTCCTTGTCCAAATACAGTTAAAAAGTCGAGCCATTTGAAGAATCCATTTTCAACCGAGCCAGCGTCTCGTGAATTTCGCTGGACCAGGGGAAAACATTGTTAGCCCCCTTAAGACCTGAGCTCAGTTTTGCCTTGGTGAAGACAACGTTGTATCGTCTAGAGCTGCTGTCAGTGGAGTTTGATCTGGCCGTCACCGACTTGCCTTGTTTTCTGTTAAGGAATGAACATCGGGTGTCTCCCTCCTTCTCCGCACTGTCCAGGTAGTGTTGAGTCCGCTGTTTCATTTCCCACTTCCTGATCCTCTGACTATAAGGTGCACAAATGTTTGATGCTCAAAGTTTTCAGGACCATAAATCAGCTGAACTCGTTGCTCTACCCATCCCCAGCCACGATTCGGGTTTTCCAGCTGAGAGGGACTCCCGTCGTTACAGTACCTGGGACGGCGATACAACTCGCGGTTGATGACGGTGGTGGGCACGTTAGCCTTCATGACGCAGAACCTGCTGTACACGGGGATTGCCCTGTACGCACCCACCATCGTGCTCAGCAACGTGACCGGCATCTCCAACTGGCTGGCCATCTGCGTCGTCGGTCTGGTCGGCACCTCCTACACCGCCTTCGTGAGTGCAACCCATGCCATGGTGGTGCTGCTTTCTTGGACCACTGGTTGCGGATTATCGGGGCTAAACCCTGGATCGTTCAGACGAAGAACGCCACACGAAAACAGACTACGAGAAGTGTCTATGGGATTACCGACACCGCGTATGATTCGCGCTGCTAATGTAAGGTACCGTTTACGTGCCACTATGATGAGCCTGAATACATCGTTAAATTAAGAATATATGAGGTAATTGGAAAGTTTGATGCCCGGCAGACTTCAGCTAGAAGACAGTGAGAGGATACGTCAGCTGAGCGATATCGCTGGGTTAACGTGGTGTATTTTCCTGCTTAGCTGTGCTCCCCTTCACACCCGTCACAGAATGCGAGATCGACTCTGGGAAAAACCGTCTGTGACAAATACTTTAGTGGGTTGGCCAGTTTTCCTCGATAGCCCCCACCATATTTCCCGAAGCCGCGTCACTGTTGAACTGTTTACTGACAAGATGACGTCATCGCTTGGCTTGCGTCAGCTGAGGACTGCTCTTCGCCATGCAGGGAGGATTCCAAGCCGTGATCTGGGCAGACGTGATGCAGGCGCTCGTCATGATCTCCGGCGTGCTCTCCATCATCATTCAGGGCTGTATCAACGTCGGAGGGTTCTCACAGATGCTGGCCGTTAATAGGGAGCATGGCCGCCTCACCATGTTTACGTGAGTCGACCTTGAGGTACAGGCTTCGGGTCATTAACCGCCCCGGTCTGACTCCAATCGATAGCAAAATAATGGCAGGCCAATTTTCACCAGAGCGTGTACCGGACACTAGTACGTTTAAATACTTGCGATTTTTCATGCATTGCTCCATCTTGTCGTCCCTTTATGCCTTGACAGCGCAGCTTGCACTTGGAACACTCACATTCCGCCTGCTCCTTGCCACCTAGATGGGACATCAATCCGCTGCAGCGCCACAACTTCTGGAATACATTCTTCGGCCAGCTCTTCATGTGGACATCCTTGCTGGGGGTGAACCAGCCCGCGGTGCAGCGGCTTCTCAGCCTGCCCACGTACAAGAAGGCTGCACTGTGAGTGTTAAGCACGTGCAGGATCTGCCATGGACAAACACATTGCGACGTGGCCACTGCCCTGCTGTATCAACTCGCCCTTGTGGGCAGATCATAAGCATCTGGTACAGTGTAAAAATTGTATTGCATACCACACGCGTTCGTCTGCACGCGATACACTCAACAACACAGCTTTTGTGGCGTAGCAGCGCAGTTGCCGGTCACTGAACCAACAGCTGGAAATATGCACTGCAAGGCTCTTTTGCACGTGACGCTGGGATTGTAACAAGTCACCGTTTTTCACAGGACAAGCATCATCGGGGGCTTCATGATGACTATGATGTGCTCCCTGGCCGTGATCGCCGGGCTTGCTATCTTTGCCACTTACGCCACATGCGACCCGCTGCGCTCGGGCGTTACCGAGAGGCGAGACGAGCTCGTGCCACACTTCATGGCTGACCAGCTGGGCCACGTGCCTGGCTTGGGCGGCCTCTTCATCGCCTGCGTGCTCAGCGGCGCGCTCAGCACTATCTCGTCGTCGCTCAACTCGCTGGCGGCCTGCACGTGGGAGGACTTCTTCCGCGACAGCGCCTGCACCGCCGGCCTTACGGACCGCGGCCGGCGCTGGGCACTGAGAGGGATAGGTGAGTACCGTACCGACAGAAAGCTCCAAGCGCTCGGAGGAATAGGTCAGCTACTCTTCCGGACGCCAAGCACTCAGCGTGATGTACCAGTAATGTGACCACACGCTGGATCCCCAGCGGCTTATGACAGCGTCCGAGTGTGAACACTCCGCGGAGCACATCAGCAATGCTGGGAGACCTTGTTTATATTGGAGGAGACGATCCCCACTTCCCCCTAAGGCACCGCATTATTGTGTTGCTCTCATAGCCTTTATTTTCAGTAGATTCCATATTCCATAACAACCACAAAGTATGTAAGACATTCATTTTCGCGGAGCATCGCACTGCAGGGGTACCGTAATGTTCATAACTCATTATTCACAAAATCATTGATCAGGGGCCGGAAAAGAAGCTTTGCAACCCTCATTTCGAGCCGGAAATCTTTACTTTAAGAGATACAAACCTCCATTGGCCACCACAAATGGCTCAGAACTTTTTCCGAGAAACCAACAACCAAGGGCCCCGCGGTCTTGGGCGCATGCAAGTGAGCGACAAGGGCACATGACCCCTTAAGATGCAGAAGAGCCTGCCAAGAATCTCTCTCGACCGCGACCAAGAACCCGATTGGACTGCCCAAAAGGCAGCTCAAAAATAATGTAATAAATAATGTAATAATGTAAATAAAAAAAATCAAGGACCCTTTAGGACCCTTAAAGGATAGGCCCTCAAATGCCAGTCAGAAGGCGCCTTAGGCTGATAATAAAAAATGGGCGACTTGGAACAGTGGGGTGCGGAATGCCAGTCAGAGGCCATCAATATCAAATAACTTGGGCCCATTTCCTAGGCAAAGGCAAGGGTGGAGCGCATGGCAGAGAGTTCTCAGAAAGCTTGTTGCATTGTTCGGGGCTCCGCTCCAGTGAAGCCTCTATGCTGATTAGAGGCCCAGAATGCCTAACGGGCCTACAGGACCGCAGTACTGAACAAGATGCCCTACGCCCGATTCGACCAGGGGCCCGATAAGCTGAACTGGTGTCTCTGCGTCAGCTGTTGGCATGCTGCGTGGGTAAGAGATCCTGTAGGGTCATAGTTGATCCAGGGTTATATGTCCTGTTTTGAGGGCCTGCTGCGTCAAGGAGGGGATCAGTTTATATTTTACCCCCCTTTTGGCCTACAGATGTGCCAGGGGGCCCGGCTCCCGTATCGCCAGAGTGGAAGCCGAGAGCGACCCCGGTATGTGACGGGAGAGTCCTTCAGTTTCTGAGCAGGGAAATTTCGAATGAGCAATTTCTAGATTGATTTCTCAATGGATCAGCAGATACAGCTTATTTCTTGCAATACTAGTTATGCCACTGCTTCAAATAGCTTGTGGCGTGGGGCGTGCCAATCCGTCCCCAAAAATCAGCTGATAATCGAAGAGGTAAAATATATGGTCCGTACTACCTTTCCCATGTACGACGTAATCTCATAACGCGTTCGACAATATTATTTCCCATACCTGGTCCGATACTGGATTTATCCATAGCTTTGGCCAACTATCTCGAAGCACGGGGATGAACTCAAAGAATGCGGCTGGAGACCCCTAAACCGAATGGGAGGTTTAGAGATTCAGCTTACTAGAGTAATGTCCTCACCTGTTGCGTCATGAGGCTAGATAAGTTCCTAGTCAGGTCAGTGCCTAGGTGGCTTGGTATACACCGATTGTATTCCGTTGACCGATCTTTTGTCATAGTATATGACATAACATATTGGGTTGGCGGTATAGCAGTGACCAGCATCGAATGATGTTTACAGAACGTAAGAGCTGTGGTGACATTTATTAACATTCATCTCATGCACCCATTTTCGTAATATTTCAGGAACAATATTGCCCATTGACACTCCAAGTTAACCATGCGAGGGGGGTGGGGATGGGGGGGGGGGGGGGTGGCAAGTCAACATTTCAGAGGCCAGGTCCCTCACAGAGAAAAAAGAACACCTATGCCCGTGTCTTAAGATGATGTGTAGCAGCTAAGTGCCTTAGTACCTATGCACCGAGGTACCCGCTCACTTATCCAGGCACGAAGGGAATTTAAGAACGAACGTCACGCAATTATTCCTTGTAACGCATGCCAGAATGTTTCAGCAAATGCTGATAATCCAGTGTATACCGGGAAAAACGCCCTCAGCTAGGTTACCACGAGTGCACTCAATAGTCCCAGTCCTCGGTTACAGCAAATGCGGTAAGAACACTCGGACCTAAGCGATAGAAACGCCAATTCAGCCAAGGCCAGTAAGCAAATGCGGAAGACGAAGGCAGTTGCAGCCGGACCGGTGCAGTTGCGTACAATTGTACGCCAAACGACAACTAAACGGCACACAAGCGCGACGTCTGAGACGGTAGAAGTGCGCTTTATGAACACGAATCTTCAGTTACACTTTATCGGCTCATAACATTATTCCAAGATCTACCAATCACGTCCCGAAGTTTTCACCTCGAGGCTTGAGGCCCATAGAGACCTACCGTTTGTAGGGGAGTTCCGTCGCGTCATGTCCCCAAAAGCCGGCCGTTCATTGGTTGGAAGACTTCATTGTGCGCAAAAATGTAACAATGTGGGGACAAGACAGTAGTATTAGCCTTATTCCTCGGAGACCAGGAGAATGGAGATATAGATAGGCTGATATTTCGGCGACATGCCTTTCTCGAAAAAATAGCAGAGGACGTTTCTAGGAGAAAGAAAAAATTCTGCTTTTGTTTCGAGAAAGACATGTTGCCGAAATATCAACCTAACTATATGTTCATTCTCCTGATCTTTTCCAGGCAATAAGGCTAATACTACTGTCTACTGCTAATACTACTGTCTGTGTTACTACTGTTCCTAGCTAATGCACTGAACAACTTACACAATTTGGAGGCACCGACGAGGCAATATTTGCCATAAAAGAATAAAGGGATAGTGGAATATTCCGATATTTAGAAGAAAGCTGTATGTCGTAAGGCATGAATGACACAATAGTGTCCTAGAAACGTGAGCATTCGAAATAAAAGCTCCTCCACCTCTCTGCGGCAGATTTCTCCTCCATTCAGCATCACGGCGCTGAGAGAAATTTCGCCCGGCGAGCTTATTAACGTTTCTCATCCTTGACGCAGTCGCTTAAGTGCCCGACACAGGCGGAAGGTCGTGCGTCCGAGGCAAGATGCCATCCGTAACTGATCTAAAATTGCCTTGTGGAACATGCTGACTTGTTTCCAGATTGCCAATATATCCTATCAGTGCAATGCAATGTAAAGCTCCCTGAGTCTTTTGGAAAAAATACCGGCCTAACGTACGTACACTTTGATTGACGTATTTATATTGTAGCATCTGTGCCACACTCCATTCAGTTACGGGCTGCCAAATATTTGGCGTCAACTAAAGTTTTATCCTAGATCGCACACCTAGTGCACTTGTAATATTGTTCTGCAAATGTTTTACTGGACTTCGCTGTGCTCGGTATGGTTGAAGCTCGATGCACCTTAAAACTCCTTCCAAACAGGTCATAGCTGGTCATTGGCTAAGCCCATCGATTGACTGATCCCTTGATCGTCGGTAGGTACCATGCAGTTGTGAGTCTTGCAGCTCCGGTATAACACCGTGGTGACTGATGTGGCTGCCACGACTGCTACTGTCAACAGCTCTGGTGTTCGGGGTCGCCTCGATTGGCATGGCGTTCCTGGCCAAGAACATGGGCGGCGTGCTGCAGATTGCCATTGGCGTATACGGCGGCTGCACGGGGCCCATCCTCGGCCTGTTCTGCATGGCTCTCTTCGTGCCGTTCTCCAACCGCGCGGTAGGTGCACTGTCAAGTTCCTCACACGCTCCCCGTGCTCTTCTCCGGTCGCCCCGGTGGATGACGTCATATGCCTGACCAGTGGCAGCGCTAAGAACTTTCTGGAGGGTGGGCAATCCGGTACTCATGGTTGGCATTTGGTGTAAGTGGTCCCTCAGACCAAAGGGCCTCCCAGCACGTTGCACTGTTTGGTATGCCCGTGACTGCTCTAATTCAATGATTGATTATGCATGCGTATATTTCATAATAACACCAAGATGATGAGTTAAGTTACTCTGTTTAATAGCCCTGCATCACACTTCCAAACCACAAGTGAACAGCTTGTTTTGGAAATGATTGTAGAAACGTATTCAGGTACACGCCAGGTACGATAAGTTCATAACAGTGTGAAGAAACGTATTCAGGTTCACGCCAGGCACGATGAGTTCATAACAGTGCCGGCAAATATTTGTACAGTTTCATGCAGCACTTACATGGTTACTCAACCCCTACCAATGTTTCCAAATTACCGATCACTAGGTTTTCTCTCGAGTAAGACAATTTGTCGGTCATGGTCGCGACTGGGACCTGTTTGCTTCCAGCTACCAAATGGGCCTCAGTTTAGTTCAAACAGGGCCTCCTGCCTACCGGCATCATGCCCAAATCGGTCGTGGTAAGGGTCTGCGGTGGCATGGCACATCTCGTCAACTGAATATCTATACAGTGCAGGGTGGGGCATTCATCCATCTGTACGATGCCAGAGCAGACTACGTGAATTTCAGTTCCAGAGGCAGCCATGACCACAGCAAGGTTTTAAACAGTATAACCCACCAAGTGTCCCGTTAGTGGCCTCTCTAACTCAGCTTGTGGGTAACCATGGAGGCGGCAGTCCAGTGCCATTTCCCCCGTAGTGATAGCAGCGGTCCCCCGCCTCATGCTAGATCCCAATCACACCAGACCTCCAAGTGTTTGGTGCTTTCGTTCGCTCGAAACAGGACCTCCCTTTTGAAATCAATAGCACATCATAGTGGAAAGTCGGAACAGGGTCTGTCCGTTGTATGTAGTGGTTCCAGACCATCCAACTTATCGGCGTGATTACACCGTCTTCTTTACTGGGTTAGTGGCCTCATCTCGCTTCCGACATGCGTCATGCGTTCCCTGACGGCGATGGCTATATTTTGCTATTGTTAGGAGAGGCGCTCAGATCTAAGCGTTTCACTTGTGTGCTAATCCACTCATCATATGATCTACTGCTCCATGACTGTAATCTAAAAAAAACATTAATCATTTGCGTGGTGCCCTGGGTGTCTGTTTATCAGTTTACTTCCCGTCACTACTCATCAGTTTACTTCCCGTCACTACAGGGCGCCACTGTTAGTCTGTTGACGGGCCTCTGCGTGACGCTCCGGGTGTAGGTACATCATTGCACCCCCCGTCACCACAGGGCACCACCGTCAGTCTGCTGGCGGACCTGTGCGTGACGCTCTGGGTGTAAGTACATCACCGATCTCCCCCGCCACCGCAGGGTGCCACTGTCGGTCTGGTGGCGGGCCTATGCGTAGCGCTCTGGGCGTCGTTCGGTGCCTCCTTCAGCGGCGCCTCGCCGCCGGTGATGATGCCCACCCGGCAAGACGGATGTCTGGCCAACACCACCACCATCATCACCAACGCCACACAGCCAGAGTCGGCAATCGTTGACAAGTGAGTCAGTGAACCTTCACCGAGTATGCTCAGGCTGTGCGCTCTGGAACTATTTTGAAGCAGACTGTGTCCTGTGTTGTGTACTATGCTCTTTTAGCTTTTGTGTGTGCTTTTAGCTCTTTCCAATATCTCAATTGTCAACCTGAATTTTCGTTTTCCCTAAGCTCCTTTTCGATTACACACTGGGTATTTCATTGATTCTGTGCCTATTCTGACTTGTCTGTTCAAACCGTAGCCAAGTTGAGCGTTCCCCTTATGTACCGTTACAACGCGGAGGACATATACAGCAAGACAGCATTACACATCACACGGAGTCCTTTTATGCAGTCTAGGCGCTGCTGAACACGTTGTTGCATGTTTTGACTGGAATCAAATGTGCTTTCTCCCAACAGGAATGGGGTGCTTTCCTTACAAGCCCCTATTACATTCTTGGGCCTGGTCTCTACTTCATCTCCATACGCATGCTTGTGGGCAGTTGTCACTAACGACGTGGTCTTCTGTGATTGGTCAGAATCAGGAGCAGGACTGACACAATGCTAAGACTTTGTGCCCGTCGTCAATGACTGACCAATGTCGTGTCTAAACACAGCTGTCGGCGAGCTTCGACTGGCTGCGCAGCACGCACGGTAGCATAGGGGATGGATATCCACTGAGTTTGCGTGTCTGAGCGGGGATTTATTTGTTACAGATCTGCATTAGAAACGTTCTACAGCATATCCTACATGCTCTACTCAGTGCTCGGTTTCGTTACAACTACGATAACAGCCATCATCGTATCCCTACTGACAGGTGATCATGAAATAAGCATCGTGAACAATATTTCACTTCATTTCATCACAAATCCCGTTTGCCTCGTTTGACCGTTCGTTGGCATAACTCGTCGGTGCCGTACATTGCCAGACTGTGTTAAAGGGCTTTATCATGCATCAGGGGCTGGAGTTGCCAGATGTTGGTTGTCCGTTGTACTTGTTGGAGACCGGAAGCCCTCCGCGCAAGCGATCGCCGTTAGTCGCGCCGTGGGTGTAGACGGTTTTTTGTTTTCGTTTTTGGCAAAAAGTTATTGCATAAAGGATCGGACTATTAGTGCTTTGCGATAGGTTTGTTGTGGGGTTGTACATACGCTACGGCCAAGAGGAGGCACATTGCAGGAAGGGCTTGGGCCCCGCGTTGACGCCTGGAGGTTCAAGCAAATTAAGAAACGATGTTTTTACCTTTCAGTTGTATCTAACTTTTTCACCGGCCTTCGGATTCTTGCCCGTCGCATAAAAAATTTGATGAGACCTAATATAGATTTTGCTAACGACCTAGGTACCATATGACTGAAATCACCTGGCTAACAATACCGGGAGGTGTGCATAGTGCCGTTGGATATGAGCGAGCGTGTCTCTTATTTTATTACCGGTTGCAGGGGGCTTAAAAGCCGAAGTGGATGGAGAGCACCTTAGTCCTGTTGTCAAGTGCTTAGCTCCAAAGAAGAAATACCGGCTGTCGCACATAAATGGAACGTCAAATACGGGCTTCGAAATGGAAGCGATTAAGAAGTGAAAGCTGACGATTGGTGACACCCGTTTGCCGCTTGTTTAAGTCCAGCTGGCTCTGAAGCCACGGCCCACCTGACTAGCTGCTGTTATCAGCACCCACCACTGCGCTCCCTGCTGTATGCGACATCTGCCGCTGTACTGTCTGTCGTATACGGCGTCTGCCGCTGCGCTGTCTGCTGTAAACGGCGTCTGCCGCTGCGCTGTCTGCTGTATACGGCGTTTGCCGCTGTGCTGTCTGTTGTGCATGGCGTCCGCCGCCCGGTGCGCTGTCTGCTGTATACGGTGTCTGCCACCGCGTTCTGCTATTACGGCATCCGCCGCTGCATTCGGCTGTAAACGGCGTCTGCCGCTGCGCTGTCTGCTGTATACGTCGTCTGCCGCTGCACCATTTGCTGTCTGCGACGCCCGCCACTGCGCTGTTGCGTCTACGACCTGGGCGTGGCGTTCTGTGGCGGCCGCCGTCCTAACCGCTCCCCGTCTCTCGTCATCTGCCGCTGCCAACCGTCGTCTGCCTTACCAGTGTTGGTGCTAATGTTGATATTGGTGGAGTTGACGCCGGCGCCTAGCGCTGCGTTGTCCCGCGCGTTTGCCCGAAGCGTCTGGAGTAGGTCTGTGATTGGATAACACCCAACCGCCACGCGAGTACGTGAGGCGTGGTGATTGGTGGGACCGGGTGAGCTCAGCGCGGCGTGACCTGTGGCGAGGTCGGCCCGCGCGGTGAACGGGATCGGGAGTATGTGTCATGTCATGAGATGGATGTATGGTTTTTTAGATAATAGAGTAACATGTGAGCTTCGAGTATTTGCGAACCCAGTTTGCGACATGATTTGAAACTCGCAAATGTGGTGGGAGCGGTCATTGGGCTCCCACAATACATTTAAGTCTGATATTTCCCTTTTGATAAGCTTTCCCTGTTCATAACACCAGGGGTGAGAAAACTGCTTCGACGATTACAACTGTTCGCTGACCTAAAGGAATGGTCAGCCGAAAAGGAGTTGAGCTTTTTTCGTTTAGGTGAGTGGAAACATAAAACGTTAGGAGCGAGAGCCGGAGGCAGGCGACCACATGGGAGGGGCCGTATATAATTCAAGACAAGCTCCGAATCTGGACATACTGAGTCCAGAAGGGGGGGGGGGGGACAAAGGAGTGTGTTGTTCACCACAACCGCCTTAAAGGGAATGCTTCACCTTTACATGGGGTTTTGAACTGAACTAGCGATCTTGGACCTTTTGATGCATTTCACGGCCATATCCCTTTTTAGACCCAAAACCCTCTGGTTACTGAGCTTTACGCCCGCAAAAGTGCGAAAAGGTTTATTGGGAGTGTACTTAAAAGTCACCTTGGCGTTAATGCCATAGAAACGTCATAGAATTGCCGTTATATTACAGGATGTTTTCTGCTTATGGTGAACACAGCACGGTCGCTGATGCATTCGCAAGAGCGATGATGCGGCAATTATAATGCACTCCACGGAAGGTGATTGGCTGTTAGTAAGATTTCGCTGCTGGATGCGTGTCGCGAACGTAAGAGTGAGCGCCTTCGGATTGTGCGAGGCTCATCGCCAACGGGGTATTTTTCCTCCTTTCTAGATCATAGGACAATGTTTTAAAAAGAAAACACCACTGCCTGCAAGAACAGTACGGCACTGAAAAACAGCACTCTCACGCATTTTATACAAAGGTAGACGCGACAGCAAACCTGCCTTTTTTCTCCTGCTGGCATTTTTCTTCTTCTTCTACTGACGTATTTCCTACAAACAGCTCGGTTGGCGTTTGTGCGTGCCGGAACAAAGAACCTTGCACGGTTTTGTGGATATTGTTCGAATTAGAAATATGGGCATTGTAGAATTAGGGAAACATTACAGTACTTTTAAATAAATATTTTGCCAAATATTTAACACACGTTGTAGGACAAATTTAAATCTTGTACAAAAAAATGTGTTCCGCAAGTGCAACCACGGCAACCGTGCAACAAACCGTGCAAGTGGTATTAGTATGGACCCCCGTTGGGACTCTGTTTTGGTGGTGCCGGTAGTGCAGTGGTTAATGCATCTGCGTTAACCAATGCGCGTCTGGGAAACCAGAGGTACGGGTTTCGATTCCCCGTGGTGCCCGCCCTCCCTGCCAGGGTGAGAGGCAGGCGACGCCATATAGCCTCAGCAGCTGAGTACGTCGTAAAGCCCCAATGGCGTGGTACACATAGGACTCTGTTTTGAAGAGAGCTCACGGTGAAATGCGGTATTATAACGGAAAACCTCTGCGGATGTTGCGAGAAAACTTGCAGCTTGATAGTCCCGCGGGTTGTGCAAATGTGGGATCACTCTTATTTAACAACAGAGTGTGAATCAGGCGCTTTAAATAGGTGTGATCACTGGTGGTGCGTGCCACTGGCTTGTATTGATCTTGATGTGATGGGGAGCGTGCGTGTAAGGTTTGTACTTCGGAGAGAGAACATTGTTTAGGTATTTTTTAAATCGAATGACACCCAACAAAATGTGATATGTTGATACCTGGCTCCGTCTTTAGGTTTGCGTTTCAACATGACGAGGTAGTTATGTCGGCAAACCAAAAGAAACACTAGCACCCATGTTGCAGGAGTGTTCAAAGGCAATTTGCTACTTCATTGTGATTTTGCCAACAATTTGAACCTAGTGAGGTATTACAGCACGTAATTAATACATTGCATGCTATTATATTTGGAATTCATTTGAGCAGTATTGACAGCTCAGTAGAGCTCATTAATGCACACGCTTGGTATAAGCTCGCATGATACAGCTTTGTAAAATTATCTTTCACTGAGGAATTCTGAAAACACAGCGCTGTATTATTATGGATGCACATGCCGTCTAAACAAATTTTGTACACGGACAGGCATTGCTTGTGGATCACCATTGTTATAGTCTTGGCACGACTTGGCACGTTGTGACTACAGTATACCCGACATCAACACACACTCATATGAGCCACAGAGCTAAGATAAAGCGGGAGACCGGGGCATTGGCAGGATGGTGGTACGCTCGGTCAAGCACCATGAATGGCTGTCTCCCCGTACATGGCTGTACGCCCTTAAAGGAAATGTGTCTAGTGTGTTTAGCTCTCTCAATACACTCCTAAGTGAAGCAAGATTAGCGAGCAGGAAAGGACAAAAGCAATGCCTTATATGTGGCGAGTAACTGCGCGCTATAGGCGATTATTTTGGTTGCTACGACCTCTCACGTGCGTACTGGGTAAACGCTGGCGATAAAGAGCTGTACGCATTTAAGGATCCCTTTGTAATTCAAAACGGGAACTCTTTCCTTTCCTGTCAACATGTCACCGCACTGTTGCACACATGTCTCTTGTATGAAGAGTGCGGAGCTGGTATTTAATGACATTTTGTCACAGCAGTTATATGGACAAAGTTCTGGTCTGTGATCATGTGTACCAAGGTGATGGCTGTCTGCATACCTTGTCACCCGATTGCAAGTACACTTAATGCAAGTACATTAAAGTGCAGCTGTTTGGGAAAAGGCTACATTGCACAGTGTCCCGTTTCACCGGCTTATATTATCTAAGCGTCTCATGTCAGCATAATTTTACACTGCTACACCGCTATCAAACTTAAACGACGAACATACTTACCCACCAATGCTGATAAATGACACTGTTTTACAAAAAAGGGTGACTATAACTTTGTTGGAATACAGTTTCCCCGTTTCTGAAAACAAAATGTAAATTCTTGCATGGCTGTAAAACATATTTATAGCCGGATAGCTGTAAATATGCCTGAAATCCGGGTTGTCCCTTATTCTAATGGTATTTAGCATCCAACCATAGCTCACTGTGCAAATTTTTCCTATAAATTTAGCCTGATCATGACAGTTTTCACCATGATCTGGAAAAAATCAGTAAGCTCCATGGATTAACCATAATGTGGGGAAAATGAATGAGCTCCATGTATGCGTATACGAAGCATGCCTAGTTTTCTAGGAATGCGCACAGTATGATAGGTTTCGGTAGAAAAGTGCACACTAAGAATCTTGAAACTTAATGGCCGTACAGCGATGATTACTTGGGGGGGGGGGGGGGGGGAGGAGGGGCCTTAACTCTATGGCGACCCCACAATGTTGCGTGTCCTCACCCCGCCGGCGTTTGGCCTTGAAGGGTGACCTTGAGATGTCAGGACTTTTTGGCAGACGCTAGTTCTTGCGCTCTTGAATATTTAGATGCTTTTAGCTTTCAAACCGGCGGGTAATTTTTGGGTGATATCGAGTTCTCCGTCTTCTGAGGCCGTGTCTGACCTTTAAAACCGCAATACAATTGGACGTCGCTGGGCTTTCAGGCAACTAAGACCAGTCGCAAAAGAAAGCGAAGGGCCCACGAGCACCCAAAAATCATTCTCCACTGATTGAGAGGGTGGTGTTTGGCCCCCACTTGATACGCTCGCAATATGCTCATGGGTCCTCTACCTTGGTCTAGGGCCCCTTCCAATTATATGGCACTTGCTTACGACGCTACGCTCTTGCCGGGGGCTGATCTGTTAACCAGCTTGGGCATAATCGGTCGTTTGGGCCCTCCAAATTGGGTATTTAGCACTTCCTATTTTAATGTAGGGTCTTGCTCTCCTGTCAGGGGTCGTCTCATAGCCTGCTTGGGTACACTCGATCTTTCGGGGGCCCTCCACACTGAGAAAATTTCGACGCTCATCACGTTGTCAAGAGGTGTTGGTGGGGCCATGGGGATATCGGGGCCCCATATGCCAGCTTGCTGGGTCAATCAGATCGCTAAGGAGCCTTCCACATTGCATTTTCTCGTCGGGCCCTACGCTGCTTTTGGGACACTATCTTCTAACCTGCATGGGCGCTCATGATCGCTCAGGGGCACTCCACGGATTTTCCCCTTTTCCCCAAAGGCTCTTCACGCTTTTGCCGGGAACCCATCCGCCGGGAGACTCTCAGTTGCTCAGAGGCCTTGTATGTTGTTATCGGGTTCTTCTCACTTCCTCGAAGGGCCCTGTGCTGCTGCTGGGGTCCATATGAGGTAAGGCGCCGAACCGCTCGATGCTCAGGGGTGTTCCTCAGTGATCTAGGGCTCTTGTCGTTCGGTCTCATTCGCGGAGGACCTTTCGCTCTTATCGGGGTCGCTTCTGTCTCCCTGACCGGGCACTTTTGATTGCACAGGGACATGCATTAATGTACACTGATCTTAGGTAATTCTCCTTTTCTCAGAGCGCCCCGTCATCTGGCCGGGATCATACATGCCAGCCTGCCGGGGCACTCCCGATCATTTAGGGGCTCACCACGTCTTGGGTTCTTCTCGCATGCTCTGAGGACCCGAACTTGTAGACGGAAGCCTCTTTGTTGGCCGGCCGCGGCACCCATTCTCGCTCAGGTTTGTGCCTATTGGCCTTGGTGTCTGAGCTTTAGAGCGACAGTCGGATATGAGAAGGTGAACTTATACGCGTAATTGTCGAATATAATTTTGCGTGCCGCCAACGTCGTGGTTGGCTCTTGAATCTGTGATACCAAACACACCTGCATATGACGCTCCTATCGTATTTTGAATGTTAGGGTATGTTGTGCTCCTTTATAACAGATAAAGCAAAGACTCTGCACTAATGATCAGACATCATTTGATCGCATCGACTAGCCGGCTAGCCATAAATAAGCTATCAATTAAATTTGTGCTTCATTTCTCTGGTATTTGGCAGCCAGCTTTAGTTTCCTTTGTCACCTTTTTCAAAACTTAGCCTCGAACTGCAAGGATTCACCATGATCTGGAGAAAATCAATAAGCTCCTTGTATGTGCATACGG